AAACCACTGGATCTGAATTCCTCTCGTTTTTGTTAGGGGTTCCGACGAAGGAGGACCCCTATTGCTTTTGACGGCTCAGAGATTCTTATTTTTTTTCCGGTATCTTCTGATTGGAAAATGGATCCCGCCAAATTACTCGTTATTATAATCAAATAAACATACCTGAAAATTTCGAAAATTTTTCGTGAGAATTTAACGTAAACGACTAAAACATAAATTTGCAACAATCAAGCACCCTTATCCGTTCACATTTTCCATAAACGTTTCAAAGAGAAAACGTGCCACTCCTCAAAACTAGACCTCCTGCCTCATCAAAGTGACAAGAAATCGTCTGTGTTCTGAGAAAATGGTTCAAACATGAAAAAAAGTCTCCATGGCAACGACACGGTGCCATCGTACCAACTGTCAAAATTTAAAGTCACTGATAAAAAGAAATCAAAACGCCGTGAAATTCGAAAATGCCAATGCTAACGCATTGCGCGGTGTCCCGACATTGGAACATCTTTGAAGTCTGTCAGTAAAAAAAGTTCGTAGCAGAAAAGACGCAATAAATTAATTTTCGGGGGTTGGCAACAATTTTCTCGGCGTCTGCGCCCTTTCAAAAATCACGAGGCTGAAAAAACGAGTAGTCGCGCATTGAAACTGCCCCTCCATTGTTGCTGAGGTTGGATTGTTTGGCTTGCTATTAAAGGCTGCGGTTCTCTTGTGATGTTTACCTCAATTCTGTATTACTAGCACGACGGTTGGTTTGACAAACTTCATAAACTCGGGAGGGGTGGTTTCAGAACGCGGATGACTTTCGTTTGACGAACATGAGCACTGTAAATCGCGAGATCGCGACGACTGAGATGGTCATTGTGTTAACTGAATCAGGTTTGGGGATGTAAAAATACCAGTACCGGTAGGATTCAAAGTTACGTAAATAACGGTAAAATTAACGTTATAAACGTTTAGACGACAGACTTCAAATTAATTTCCACAACCGGAACACCGTGCAATGCGTAAGCATTGGAATTTTTTAAAAATGCGGATTACGTAATTGTACGTGAAAGGGGAAGGGGGTCTAACTGTTGATTACGTTTGGTAACGGGAAGAGGGGAGGAAAAAAAAATCAAAAAATCGTGATAACGTAGGGATGAAAATGCCCGGAAAGTTTCCGGAAACATAAAAAAAAACAGTTTTCTTTTCGGGTTTTTTCCCTGGCCTCGGAAAAATTGGAAAGATTTAGCCTGAAAAGTAGGCAAAAAGTCGGGCATTTCGTCTGATAGTAGGCTAAAAGCATACCTTTAACCCTGTGTTAACACGATTCTCAGAGCACTCAAACCACTTATACCCTGTTATGATTCCTTCTCGTGCGTTTTTTTTTGCTTGCTGTTGTGCATCTCGGGTTGTTAGTATAAGTAAAGTTGTAACAAAGCACAAAAGTAGTAGGTTTCATGTTCATAGTGCTTAAAAACTAATTTTTCCTATTTTTCCTATTTTTCCAAATTTTCTGGGTTTTTTTTTCAACCCTTTGAAAGTTTCCGGAAAATTTGCATCTCTATGATTACGTAATATGTGGACGACTCCTAAACGCCCCTCAGTAAAGGGGCGAAACCAGAAAAAGTCGCACGTGAGTCCGATTTTGCCGTTTTTGTCCTAGAGGGATGGGACCAACGGTTTTGAACTCAAAAAGAACCATTCTATACCGTCAATACCATTTTCGGCACCTCAAATAACTACTCCTTGCCGTTTAGGGACCTCAAAGTAGAGCAATTTCGCGAGAAAATGATAAATTTGGCGGGGGTCGTGTAAGAAAGGACACTCCTATCGCTGTTGCGGAGGAAAACATCATGTTTTATATGTTTTTAAAAAGGCAAAAAATTAAGCAGTCCTGTCCATTCATGGAAATTGGTTTCATACGAAATTGTGGAAGCTGCGGGTCTATTAATGTTTGCGAAAATCGTCGTCTGCAACTTTTTCGACGAGAGATAAGTCAAGTTGCGAACATTTGCGAACCGGTTGGGCACCGTGGTGAGATAGTATGGTGACCCAACTTTCAAGTTAATTTCGTCCGGCGATACCGTTCGATGCCGTTTTCCTTCAAATCGACGTCAAACATGCGAATTCGTCTCGCACCGCCACGCCACGCAGTGGGCTGAGAAGCGAAAAAAGCGATAATAAAGGGCAGTTTGAAAATTGAACAGGAAGGTCATACAAACTGTGCCATGTCCATAAGAAAAGCATGCCCTATCCGTGACACGAGTCTGTTTGAAAATATATCACACGCGTGACGCTGTGCAGGGCGCCAAACATGGCAAATATCGACCTATTTCTTCACACATCCTACAATTGTGAACAATTTTCCTTCTGGGTGTCAGCCTATTCCACATATCGGTATCATGTTATATGTTTTTGGAAAGCTGAAGGCCCCACAAATCTGGACAATATCAAAGGTTTATAGTTGGTTTGACCGGGTGGAAAATACAGGCCGTCAAAGATGTTGCAAAATCGACGAGTTTGTGATTTTTGCGAGGCGATAAGTTGCGAAAGTTTGCGAACCGATCTGTCACATGGAGGTGTAAGAGCAGCATCTTTTCTTTAAGGCCCTTTTCGCCGTTTGTTCCGCTCTGTTCCGCGTTTTGAGAAAATCGCAGTCAAAGATGACAAGTTTCGTCTCCCGCCCGGGCCGGCCGGGCGGCTGGCTGCTGTCGCCGGTCGTTTGCTGGTTTTAATTTTGTCAGATATGATTTTTGGCGAGCGATAGCGAGCCCTTGCCGTGTTTGGGCGCTCCAAAAAGTGACTGGTCGTGCGTCTGTCTGTCTGTCACCACGGACTTACTTAAAATACTTCGATATGTGCCCCACACATGCGGGGGTCTAGGGGCGGAGACCCCAGCGAGCGTCGCGAGTCATACTATATGCCCGTCCCTCCGTCAATTTTTTACAAAAAAATAAACGGGGCGGGCCAATAAGAACTGTTTGAAAAAGCAAAGAAATTTTTATGGTGACCAGTACTAAGTTTTTTAAAATGCGACCCTCACTTGACTAGCAAGCATCGCTTCTACTACCTTATGATGGTCTCTAGGTTGAAGTGTTGCTGCATGTTCACTCCACCATAAGCATTCCTGGCGTGTACACTACAGGGTGCTTACAGTGGGACGAAACGCGGAAAAAGCGATACGAAGTGTCAATTTGAAATTTAACTGCGGTGCCGTAGAAACTATTTGATGGTTATGACGAGGGTAAAGGCTGTATATGTAACACTTTTATTACAATTTTAAAACGTGCGGGCTAAAGGGGGCGCTGAACACAATTTCGGCTGTTCATTCACAAATGGAAATAGGGTCAATCCATGAAGGTACGACATTTTTCTGCAATTGATCTCTCCGATTACGATGAAACTTTGCGAGCTTGTTGGCTATGGTCTGAAACCCCCCAAAACCAATTTTGACCAAAAAATACCAACTTTTGAAAAAGTAATGGCTGGCGTTAGAAGTTTTGATTTTCGTTGCAGACCTTTTTTGAAAACGCAGTAGTTTCTTCAAAAATAATGTTACAGAGCTCATTCAGGGCGTCTTCAAAAGGTATTGAATTGGAGTTTAAGTCATTTGCAACATTTTGACGAACATGTTTAAATTTGACAAAAGTTGAAGAAAGTCCAAATTTTGAACACAATTTTCTCAAAAGTACACTCCCGACAAAAATTGGGGGAATGCTTCTAATCATCGTAATATTTTCTAAGTCTTTCGAGCTGGGAAGCTGAAATTTTGTACACGAATGCCCCCACTACTCCCGTTGAGGCCTGCGAAGCCCGTGGCCCGTGCGCCTCCCCTCACGGACGGCACCCACCCCTAAGTGCGCAAGGGCGAAAAAAACGATGAAATCGTGCCGTAAAAAACAACTTTACCTTATCGCAGAGTCCAAAGTTTTGGTTTACGAGGTCAAATGAGTCTCCTCTTTCCAACGATGCAAGCGGAATTCAATTTGAACCAACCCACCCCCCGCTGCACTCACCCCCACCCCCTCGAGGGGGTGGATTTCGAGCATGTTTGAATTTCGCTCAAAACAGCGTCGGGGCGTCCCCCGTACCAAGCAATCATGTTTTTTCGAAGTTCCAACCACCCCCGGGTGAATCATCTCCCAGAGAGCCCCACCGCCTTTCGAACACCGGCCGTCCGGGGCCTTTTGGTTTGAGCAAAATGCAACAAAACTCCAGGGGGCATTCCTCCAGTGTCCCAGAAGAAATGTCAGCGAAGAAACACGGTGCCGGACGACTGCAACCCCTGCGGTAGGGGTGTTCACCCCCTTGCACCCCTGCACGCCCCTGGAGGGGTGCGAAGCCATCCGACGAGCGGGCTGGTCGAAAAAGGCATGAGGGAAGCGATCCCGAAGTTTTCAAGTCGATCCCACCAACCGTTCGTCTTCCAGAGCGAAAAAAGCGTCACTTCCAGTCAAAACCACCCCTCACTTCACCTCCTTCCGGCGTCGGCCCTGGCCAACACAACACGGTGTTGGCGGTGGCGACGCGATCGTTGAGGCACCCGGCGCGCCTCGGCACGCCGGGTGCCTGACGTTCGTCGGCACCCTCGGCGCACCGGTGGTCCGACGGCGACCCCTGACGGGTTCCTGGTAGTCTAGCACTACCTTAACACGATGCTGAAGTCAAAAGTCCCGGACACCCAAGTGGAACGCAGCCAGAGGCCGATGATGATTTTGGCCTCCAACAAAAAAGTTGCTTTGACGGACTTTACAGACAATACCTGGAAATGCGAAAAAATATCTGGAAATTTCTAGACATCGGTTCCACCGTGTGGCCCTTTCAGAAGGAGTGGTGCACACATACACACACTCACACCTACGCCCTTACGCACTTGGATACGAACAGTTTTTTTTTTGCTCTTACTTAACTGGCCTTGCTGTCCCTAGCCGAGACTCCCCTTCCTCTCCATTTCTTCGCTTTGGTTCCCTTTGTTCATCGTTCTCACTTAAACGAGTTGTTTTTTTTTCTTTTAAAAACAGGTCAGTGGCTGGAGCAAAAACGAGTTGGACGAATCTGGCAAAGAACTCCAAATCATGGAAGCAGAAGTCGTTAACAACACAGTTGTTGAGGATGAAGGGACAAAATTGCTGCCATACCTTGGGCATGGGAAATTTCCTGCCAGAGGCAAAAGGGGTAAGTAAAAAACAGCAGTTTAAGGTGGAACATGAAAAAAATTCCAAATTCCTGTTCCCAATTTTTCTTAAGTTTTTTTACTTTTTTCTGAGGCTTACGCAGCAAACGCGACCCAAAAGTCGAAAGTACTTTAACCTGTGAAAATTCTAATTGGCTGAGCGATATCAAAACCTCCCACTCCAGTGGGGTTAAAATTTTTTCGTGTCTGTCTGTGTGTGTGTGAATGTACACTACTCCTCCTGAATGGCTCGGCTAATCTAGCTGAGATTTTGCAGGCTTATTAAGTATGTTCTTGGCTCAGCACACGCGAAAGTTCACTATCCTAGCTCACGCGGTTTGGTTTTTATAGCCAAAAATTCCTAAAAAAAAGTCGAAAAATGGAGTCTTATACACGCAGATCACTTCTGTTTTGGAGAAAGGGGGGTCTGGGGGGCCTTGAGGAGTTAAAACTATACAAGGGTCAAGATCGTGATATCTGTTGATGAAACAACTCTATCTAGAATTAAGGGGGGTCTGCGGGACGATCCCCCCAGTATGCAACAAGTAAGAAGTCACCGACGATGGACAAGCGAATGCCTGTCGAAGGCTGCCTAGATCCACAGCCCAAGATAGGTATGCCACACAGTGGGCTGGGATCGCATTCTAGCCGCTTAAAAATAACTTTTTGATAGTCGTTCAAATTAGCCTATTTCAATTGATTTGATAGGAAATTTTCCGTAGATTCCAAATCTCGTCTTGGAATTGACGTGCGACAAATACTTTGACCACTACGTGCCGTCAAAGTTCTACAGGGTGAGTTTCCTCAATGTGTAAATAATTTGCTAGCAGTTTGGGCATCCCTTGGGGACCATTTTTCACTAATGAACTAGTGGGCGCAAACGTCTAGGTACGGAGATAATTGGTGTTTTGTAATTGGATTTTGCGCCTACGAGGTAGGCACCCGGTGCCACTGAGGGTGGCAGGACCTGTCGCGGGTCTAGCAGTACTCGCGGGAGTGCCACTGACCTCGCGGAAGTATCCGAGGAATCCCGCCAACCTCGCAAAGACAGCCGTGAGATCGAGATCCACTGTAACGGGGGCCACCATGACAGCCTCTTGAGACCTGCGGCAACCCCCCCCCCAAAAGACATTTGCAAGGTCCGCGACACCCCTGCGAGAGTCGAAGCACCCCTCCTAGACCCGCGACACCCCCACGTGAGGTCCTGTGACTATCAGTGGCAGCGGGTGCCTACCCGCAGGCGGGAAGGCCAATCACAAAACACCAATTATTTCCGTACTTAGACGTTTACGCCCACTAGTTCATTGGTAGAAAATGAACTCCTTGGGGTGCCCAAACTACCTACAAATTATTGACACATTGAGAAAACTCACCCTGTACATTCGGCATAAGTTCCAAATTGATGCGAAAAGTAAGCTGTTCTATATTTATACATTTAGAGCGATTGCAGTGCTTGTTTGAAACTTCCGCTGGGTTCTTCTTGAAGCTTAAGGTCTGCCCTTTCAAATGGTATTAATGTTTTTCTTTTCTGACCAAAATTAGACGAACGGCGCCCTTTTTTAACCACTAACCACTAATAACGCAAATTATCAGGAAAAAAACCATTAAGTTTGAGATCTACTACCGAATTAACCCCAACCAAGCATGTCTTTACACTAGAAATTGACGAGGGGCATGCCGTGATAAAGGATCAACTGAAAAAAGGTGCGCAAATTTGCGCAAACGCAAAGCCTCTAAAAATGTTACTTCTCGCCAAAACATTGAATTTTGTCAAAAAGTGGTGGGCTGACGTCACGGGTGTGCTCGTCAGCACCGTGAGCGTGCTTGCGCTCAAACGCACGACCAACGCTGCTGCTGCGCGCCCAAAGCGAGTTGTGCGCGTTCCGAAGTTGTCACGCAAAGCTTTTTTGGCCTGTCCCGTTTATTTTTTGTAAAAAAAATGACGGAGGGACGGGCATAAAGTGTGACTCGCTACGCTCGCTGGGGGGCTCCGCCCCCCAGACCCCCCGTGCGTGCCTTCAGCCCGCTGAGTGGGGTCTGGCTAGCGGCAGTAGGGGTTGGCCGCCTGTTCATCGGGTGGTGTACGCCACCGCGGTCAACTCAGAAGCTGTCTTGTACAAAATTCCTCGTGAGTTGTGAGTACTTTGAAAAGGGGTGACAGCGAGGCAAAACGTCGTAAGTCCGGCTCCCCTGGCATCGTTGTCCTGGCCGCAGTCAGCAGCTGATGTGAAATCACTTTGCCGTGTTCAGGAACAGCATTGCCTGTCATTTAGCCTGAATCGCACTGCTCAACAATTACAGCGAAAGGTAGTGATGGCTAGCGGGGTCACGAAGGCAGCAGCTTTTTATTCATAAGCAACAGAGTGAAAAGTACTAATGCGCACCCCTCAAGTTATATGGCTATGTATCAATAGGAAAACTGGACCCTGACTCTCAGAAGAAGTGGCCAACAGTCTTAAATTCTACCCTATTAGTTGTCTGTATAATATTGTCCCGCCTGAAAAGTAGGGAACCCAAAAAATCATTGGAACTATTGGTCCAGGCATTACAAGCGAGAATACACCTTTGCCACCATGAAGACGGACTTTGTGTTTTGATTGCTGAACTTAACCGTTCCAAAATGGTTTGTTTTCTTTTAAAATAGAGCCCCTGGAAAGTAGGCAACCACCATGAGAGACAGTTACCAGGACCGTATCTCTAACCGAAAAGTTGTCAAATCGGAGATGTTTGCTATCCTTAATAAGAAGCAGCCTACACGTAGAGAACCTACCCTTGTTGTCACACTGTACGGAAAGTGGACGGCCCTGCAACGTATGCAACCAGGGGCAGTCGGAATTTGGATAACCGATGCTCAAAGTGGCAAAAGTAAAAGGAAGAAAATCCGATGACCTTGTAAAAAAGGGGATCACAGTGTATTTGTCTGCCCACCCTTGGAAGAAGTCTCGAACATGAAGTGAGCGCCCCTGCAAAGTAGGCATCTTGTGGAATCGTACTCTTTTATCTCTTACCATTGCGCATAGAAGTAATCGACCCAGAAACATTCCTTATCAAAAAGAAGAGTCATATTGAATTTTTCTGACCGCTCTGGACAGCAGTCTTGTGACAAATTGAGTGCCCCTGCCAAGTAGGCAACCAGTGAGAGTGGAAAATTTAGAGAACTGATGGTTCTTGAGATTACGGTCGAAGAACCAAATCCATTTTTTTACAAAATTAAAGTTATCCGACCCGCTTGAAAGAAGTTTCGTATAAGAAGTAAGAGCCCCCGCGGGGAAGGCAACCAGCGGGAGTCGAAATCTCAAGAACCGTTCGTCCTACAGAAAAAGTTATAAGAGCAAAAATGTTCCTCGCGAAAAATGAGGGGTAGCGTACGCTTTGATGAGGTGTCTCGGAAGTCGTCTTGTACTCCAAACCAGCCACGGAAAGAAAAAGTAGCGAAAATTCTGCCGCTTTTAAAGGAGGAAAAGGTCAAAGCTGAAGAACGGTGGGTCGCATCGAGACGGGACCAAGTTCAGCAGATATAAAATTCAATTCGAGGGACAGCGTATGCTTTGATGACCCATCTGAGACGCATCCTTCTAGGTGAAAGTGCGATCGGCGAGTCGCGGGTGCCGGCCGGCCGGCGTGACATTTTCCCCCACCCACTCACTGCAGGCCTTATGGGAAATGAGTTTTCCGCGTTTAGCAGGCAAAAGGTTGAGAAAAAGTAAATTCTGATATTTTTTTGCTTCCCAATTGTTTAAATGACGAAGCGTTTGACTCTTAAACGAAGAAAATCGATCGGCCAGTTTTCGCTGTGGTTAAAAGTTGTATGTCACTCAATCACTCAGTCGTGCGGAGGGGAGTATTTTTTTGGGACGCACTCGCTACGCTCGATGGGGGGCTCCGCCCCCCATACCCCCCGGTGCGGGCCTTCGGCCCGCTGAGCCTCGCCTGGTTTTGGCAGGTTTCACTGTAATCTGTAACCTTGCCATCCTTACTGTTACTGTTTTATTTTGCTAAAGGAGGTTTTTGGGACTGCTAAGTGCTTTTTAGTCTGTCGCTTAGAGGAGAAAGAATTGCCAGTGTCCATCTGTGCTTGTCATGAGTTGATTGTTTTAGGTGTTTTACGGAGGAAAGCGCTTACAGCCTTTAGCAGTAACCTAACCTACCTTAGGGTTTTTCTCAGTTAGCTTCGTACGGATAAATCGGCACCCCTTGCATGCAGGCAACCCGTAACAAACGCCGTAAAATGTTTAAAAGGAAAAGCTGTACGTGAATATATCGAGAAAAGAATTACCGATGATAAGTTTTATGGCCTTTTTTATGAGCAGTCGCACGCAACGTTGCGAACACCACGCCTGCGAGGTAGGCAACCAATGGATTAAATCTCGAGAACAAGCAGAAAATATTAAATAAATTAAAGCTTGGTTCTGATTTCTTCTCAAAATAGGGATACCTTTACCTCGCAAAACTCATCCAAAGTCCGTTTTGCATAAGGAGTGAGGACCCCCGGCAGGTAGGCAACCAGCACGACCCGCGATCTTGAGAACCGTTTGGATGCCAAAAACGTCATAAAAGCAAAAACGTTGCTCGTCGAAAATATGGCTCAGAGTTTGCAATGATAACGCACTTCCAAAGTCATCTTCTTCGAAAAATCTGCGTCAGAAGCAAAAACGAAGAAAATTTTTGCTATTTTGAACGACAAATGGCAGAAATCTCGAGAATGGCACGTCGGATCGAGACGAGAGATGGCTCAACGGATAGAAATTAAATTTGAGGGATACCGTACGCTTTAATGACCTATCTAGGACGTGTCCTTCTTGGTGAAAGTTCGATCGGCGTTCCTAGGTGACAAATTTTCTGCCGTTTTTGAACGACAAAAGGCCTAAATCTCAGGAATGGGATGTCGGATCGGGACGAGAGATGGCTCAATAAATAGGAAATTAAATTTAAGGCGTACCGTACGCTTTGATGACCTGTCTAGGACGTGTCCTTCTTGGTGAAAGTTCGATCGGCGTCCCTG